TATAAACCTGCTATTCGGTCGGCTTGGTATACATATTATAAATTACTATCCTTAAAAATTTAATAGTCTAGTAATGTAATACAGACATCACAATTAAAGAATCACTCAATCCATTTTCATTCACAAAAAATAAATAAATCACAAAAAGCTGTAATTTTAACAAAAACGATTCAAATAAGATATTTTCCAAAACAGAACATTAAGTTACCGTAGATGAAACTGGTCATTTTTAATGTAAACAATATAATCCATTATACCCAGGTAGAACACGGAGTCATAATTAAGTCATAATGGTATCACGGGACGTCATCATAATGTCATTTGATACCAAAAAATTGACTTATAAGTGACGAATGAGATCATGATGATGTCCTCATGACTTCTGTGTTCTACTTGGATACATACAATTACATATGCATACTACATTTTATTATAGTTCGAAGAAGTTATAGTTGTAAGAATATATGCTATGTTCTTTTAGGCGTTTTGTCACCTACTGGTTATTGCAGACCATTTGATTCAGCTGCTAACGGTTATTCGCGTAGTGAAACAGTGGCAGTGATATACCTCCAAAAAGCGAAAAATGCAAAGAGGATTTATGCCATATGTCCGCATATTAAACTAAATAGTGATGGTTACAAAGAAGAAGGAATAACATATCCTTCATCACAAATGCAATATACCTTACTAAAGGAATTTTACGAAGAGTGCAAAATACCGACATCTTGTTTGGATTATGTCGAAGCACATGGTACCGCTACCATAGCTGGCGATCCTCCAGAAATTAATGCTATCTATAATGCTTTTTGTAAAAATAGAAAAACTCCATTCATGGTTGGCTCTGTAAAATCCAATCTCGGTCATACTGAACCCGCAAGTGGTTTCAATCAGATCGCTAAGGTAAAACAAGTAGTTTCCGTTTTCATCTGTTATTATAAAATTTGCTTTCATTTCGCACATAATTATACACACATACCTACACAAACAGAAATTATATTCTTTGTAAAAATTGTTCGATAAGTACTCTACTAAAACATTCCAAACCAAAGGCTTATTAAAAGATTGTGAAAATCTTCTTTTATTAAATTCGATGTCCGGTAAAATTAATATAACATATAAATGTATATAAGTAAACAATATATATATTTGACAAATTAATTTAAATTCATATCTCAAAACTGTTATTATTTATTCAAGGCAATAATAGCACTCGAAACCGGCTTTGTTCCACCAAATATCAATTATACATCGCCAAGGAATGATATAGATGCCTTGATAAATGGAACTGTTCGTGTCATCCAAGAACCAATGTCACTTCAAAATGGTTACGTAGGAATTAATAGTTTCGGTTTTGGGGGATCCAATGTTCATGTGTTATTAAAGTGGAATGATAAACTGAAAATAAATAATGGAATACCAAATGATGACTTACCCAGACTTGTCCTATTATCTGGACGCACTGAAGAATCAGTGAAATTGTTTTTAAATGACGTTAGTGTAGATTTTTCAAAAATATTTCCATACTATTTTGAACAATTATAGATATTATGTTTCAATAAAAAAAAAGTTTTATTACAGATTGTTAACCATCAAATAGATGTAGAATATATTCGCTTATTACATGATATCCATACAGACAATATAAACGGTCATCCATGGAGAGGGTACATTATACTGAATTCTTTCCAACAAGATTCAATAAAAGAAATTCAAAATTGTGAACGCATGAATAGACCTGTTTGCTTTTTATTTTCAGCCTTGGGTTCTCAATGGCCAGGAATGGGTACATATTCAATATTTCATAGTTTATTAATATCTTGATCAAAAAGTTCCCGGAATTATCACCAGGTGATGCTCTGAGTCAGCTGATTTGAGTTCTGTTTTTTTGGTTAGGTTGCCACATCTATCATTGACATTTCCACCAAATTTTATCGCCATAGCTTGACATTTGTAAAAGTTACGTCGTCTTGAGTACATCTACACTAGCGCTCAAAAGTCTTTTGACAAGTAATTTTTCATAAGTAAAGTTGGTAACATTGTCTCGCTCAGTTCAATTGTTAGCTATATTAATACTATATGAGAATAGTGTTTACTGTAGTACAGCAAAATTAATAGATTTTCATAAAGACATTTTTGCAACGAAATTGCGCTTAAAAGACGGTTCAAAAATCTTTTGACACGTAAGTTTTTTCCTAAAAGTTACGCTTAGATATTAAGTATAAGATTATCGATTGTTGTTTTATTACTGTTTAACATTTCCTTATATAGAATATGACAAAAATACGTAAGGAGTACTCAACAGATATTAAGGAAGCTGTAATCCA